CGTCTGTTCATCACCAGTGCCGAGGGTCGGAACCAAATCTGTCAACCCCTGATCCGTGGCTAGATTGTCAATACCCCCGATTGCCATCTTCTTATACTGGTCCACGTTGTTTTCCATACAAAACTTGCTTTCCTTGGACAGCTAAGTCGAATTCGCCCGCTGCAAAACTCTCCTCCGTTCGTTGTTTCGTCTCCTCGAATCTCCCGTCAAACACACCACGAAGCTGCCGGTCCAAACCAGAAACTCTACTTCAATTCACCTGCCTCTCTCGTCGCCCCGCCTTCCGAATCTTTAATGCCGAAAATAAAATAGATGGCCGGAAATTCAGCCCTGCTCCTCAGCGTAAGCCGATATATAGCGGACTATCGAAGCTAGCAATTGGCCTTAGCTTGCGGCAACCCTAGGGAGAGAGATATTACCCTCCACAAAAGTAGGTACCCAGTTTAATTGTGACTTTACATTATACGTACTATTATATATAGAGTTTTAAATTTTAGGAAGCACTCCATTAAAAATGTTTGGAGTATAAAGTTTAATGGATAAAAAGGGGCATACAATTATGGAAAGTTTTGTCATGTGGCATCTTCTAAGCAAACATTGATTGTAATATTCTAAATTTTTTTTTCAATTTTGTACTCCGTATATTTAGTAATTAATTATGGTGCGTTAGAATAAGATCTAAGTTAAATTAGAATCGTTATTGGTACGTTAAGTTATTAAGATTAAGCAAATATGTTGGAATTCTAGGCAAGTAGCAAACAACCCAGAACATCTTCATTCATGATCTCTAATAATCAATTTTTCTATAATTCTTATCATTTAAATATTGTTATGTAATTAATTTTAAAATAATCTCAAAATTTGATTATATCTCTCAATCATCATCTTCAAATAATCTGGTTTTTTTCTCTGTAATGCATTAACCTCTATTACATATACTTTTTAAATAATCTTAAACTAATCTAGATTCATATTTTGATCCCAGATTATTGTAGTAAATAATCCCATTAAACAATATATGTCACTCAATGATAATTTTCTAAAAAAACTGACATATCACCAATTCAATCTCATAATAATCCTTCCAATGAGGATGCCATCAGAAATCATTTCAATGGACCCCGATTTGAAAATCTATATTTTTTAAATTGATATAACTTTTCATTTTAAATTTAATTTTTATAAAAAATATATCATAATTCATGATTTTTTATTATCTTTCATATGACATCAATATTGAATATGTAAGAAAAAAGAATTTTGAATGTACAATAGACGGAGGTTTTTAGGCTCAAAACTTTTTCAAATAGATTCAAACTTTAAAATTAGGATCTCATGATTGTATAGCATAATTTCATAAGGGACATCTTATGTATAGACATTTTATTTACAGAATTTTATCGATCCGAGTCCCGAAAGATAGACGAATCACCGGACTTGAAAGATGAAATATATCGGTATAGGACGCGAATGATGGAAAACTATCAATTTAGGACCCAAATGATAAAAACTATCAATATAGGATCTAAATTGTTATGATTTGTTTTTTATTTCAAAAAATTGAAATACTCCGTAGTATTTAGTTTTATTAACTTAATAAACTTATGTGGGAAAAAATCATCAAATATTAGCAATGGAATTAATAAAAATTAAATGAATCAAAATCTATGAAATGTTAGGTCATAGATTGATAGTTTTTCATCATTCGGGACCTGTACTGATACACTTCATCTTTTAGGTCCCGAATTGATAATTATTTATCAAGTCCCGGATTGATAAAATAGTGGAATTGTTTTTTTAGAACATGCACTTTGAGTGTAATTGTGGAGTTTATATGTTTGAGTGCAATTGGGATGTTATGGAGAAATCTTCCCAATTGCAATTGAGCCCGTTTGGTATCTCTGTTTTTTGGCTTATCAGGCTATCAGTGAAAGTTTTCAGAAAATACATAACTTTTGATTTCGTGCATTAAATTGTGTAATAATAATAAATTTTAAGATTGAAGTTATTTTTATGGCTGTATTGGCTGAATTTTAAGACATTTATTTATTTATAGAATTTTATTGATCCGAGTCCCGAAAGATAGACGAATCACCGGACTTGAAAGATGAAATATATCAGTATAGGACGCGAATGATGGAAAACTATCAATTTAGGACCCGAATGATAAAAAACTATCAATATAGGATCTAAATTGTTATTATTTGTTTTTTATTTTAAAAAATTGAGATAGTATTTAGTTTAATTAAATTAATGAACTTATGTGGAAAAAAATCATCAAATATTAGCAATGGAATTAATAAAAATTAAATGAATCAAAACCTATGAAATGTTAGGTCATAGATTGATAGTTTTTCATCATTCGGGACCTGTACTGATACACTTCATCTCTTAGGTCCCGAATTGATAATTATCTATCAAGTCCCGGATTGATAAAAATAGTGGAATTGTTTTTTTAGAACGTGCACTTTGAGTGCAATTGTGGAGTTTATATGTTTGAGTGCAATTGGGATGTTATGGAGAAATCTTCCCAATTGCAATTGAGCCCGTTTGGTATCTCTGTTTTTTGGCTTATCAGACTATCAGTCAACTTTTTCACAAAATACATAACTTTTGATTTCATGCATTAAATTGTGTAATAATAAGAAAATTTAAGATTGAAGTTATTTTTATGGCTGTATTGGCTAAAGTTACTGTAGATAATCATTTTTAGATATTATTCATTTTTTTCAATAATAAATTTGTTTTTAATTTTTTTCTATATAAATAAGCAAAATCAGTCAATTTAGCCACTTCAGTCAAAACTTCATAAAATTCAGTAGAATCAGCCGATTCAACCAATTTCGTGTTACCAAACATACTCTAAATGAATAAATATAATTGCACGTTATTTAAAGTCACTAAAATAAAAAATATTCTTAATTTCATATGAAAAAGTTTGATCTGAGTGCTATTTATATTAAAAGTAAAATGTTAGTTTATAGATTTGTTTATAATGTTTTTAAGAGACATTCAAGGAATCTCGTTAATGTTTTTAAGTTCTTGGATATTAGAAATCAGAAAGCCATCTTTTTTTATCTAACGAAAGCCAACTCTTAAAATTGTGATTTTTTTAGAAATTCCAACGTTGTTGAATTCTAATTCTAATCCAACACCATGCTTAGTTCGAGTTTTTAGCAATTCAGATTTTAATCCACGAAAGAGTTTTAGGGAGGTTTTAATGACTTCTAAATTTTAGAAGATATTTTTAAATTAGAAAGGGAATTTAGAATATTATTATTAAAGAATTGCTTAGAATATGACATGTGGCAAAACTTTCTATAATTGTATCTCTCAAATGTATTATCTATAGATGTATTATCTATAGATACAAATTCCCCTGATTCCCCTAAACGGAAACCGAACTTAAACAAAAAAGAGAATCTAGATTGGCCCACACCCCTAATTCCAGCATTCCAACAAAGCATACTACGAGCCCTACCCATTCTTTTTTTCTTCAAACGCAAATCCTCAACTTCACACCTCATGTCACTTCAACAATTCACATTTCAACAACAGTCCATAACTCATTCACCGAACAAATTCATCAAAGAGGTTAGATATTTTGTTTTTCAGATTTAGATGTTTCATATACGTAGTATTTAAATTAATATTAGTTATCGATCTCTTTCATACATGCCTTCAAGTGTTGATGATAAAAGCTTGCATGTCGAAATTCCTATGAAAAATATACGAAGTTAGTTTTAATGTTAAATTGTTAATTAACATAATATTGAACTTTTATAAAAAAAATCGACTATAAACTAATATTTGGTGTTGATATTAACTTAATATCGGATTTTCGAACTCCAAAATATCTATTTAATTAAACAATAAAAACTAAGGATGCTTTTACTTGGACCGTAACTTGTCCCAGTCCAGACCAAACTAGACTTAGATAGTTATAAAAATACAAAGAAATCAGATCAGACCAGACTTGGATAGTTATAAAAATACAAAGAAATCAGATCAGACCAGACCAGACCAGACTTGGATAGTTATAAAAATACAAAGAAATCAGACCAGACCAGAACAGACTAGACCAGACCAGCAAATTACAGTTCAAGTAAAAACATGCTAACTTGCAACGTGATTTTTAAACTTAATATTAACTATTCTTCCAGGCCCTGGTCAATTAAGGGTTGAGTTTTCACACATGCTCAAACTGTTCTAAACTTAATATTAAACTTAATAAGACTTTGTTAAACTTAATATTAACTGTTATTAACAGCCTTAGGTGAACTTAATACTAACTATTGACAGTCTTTTTCACTACTGCACTAATTACTATCTATTGATAGATGACACCTGTTGTTAAGTATTCAATAGTCACATTCGGATCCAAAACAGATCAGAAAAAGACATACTGTCTATTATTTGAAAAGTCTATTATCATCCTATAATTGTAATAACTCTGTTGCATGCTTGCACCGCCATCTTACTGTCTATATAACTTATATTGCTAGTTGCTACATCTTTAATGTGTTACTACTAAAGTTGTGAATACGTTATAAGATTTTTAATGAAATATTAATCACCATAGATGTCTTCAAAAGACAAGACGCCTCGAGCTACTGCATAAAAAGGATCCACATTGAAAATTATTAAATGTGCTGAAGTGGATGTGTTTTTAATACTTGCCTAAATTCTATGTGCGTAACAATTACACCTGATGTTCAGACCAAGTTGAATTGTGTTATGGTTATGCACTGGACATCGTTTTACCATTTGATTTCCATTTTTGGTGGTTGTATTGTTTATGAATTATGGAACCTAATGGGTTTGACCGACCAACACCGACTTGTTTTGGTACGATAACCGACCAATTGAATGCTCTTCGGTTTGGTTAGTGGTTCCTCATCCCAGAAACCAGCAACTTCCCTGGCCAAAAACACATCTGAACAAATCCAAGCACCTTTTATTTATTATATAATGGTACAATAGCCATTTACTTTGTGCTTTTTCTTAGTTAGTCCTATCTGAGCACAGGACCCCAATGCTTCTATAATAACACCTCTGATTGTTTACATTTAATGTATTGCTTTTTTTCACATTGATTCCGTCAAACAGCTATTCACGCTTTCATCCCAAAGTTCCCAATTAAGTGTTGTTATTATGTATTCGGAGTATATAATTGAGTCTTTACACGTAATTTTCGTAAAAGACTCTTAATGGTATAGTTGCTTACAGGAAAACGAAACCACATGTTTTCAACCATCAATTTGACTTAGTTTTTTCGTCAGTGTTTGTGACATGACATGCTATTCTAGTTTCACGCAGCCCCCCATTCTTTTTTACTTTTTAGACTAAAATCACTAAATATGCATGTATCCCATTAGATCATAGTGCAGAGTGCTATTGGTGGAACCTCCATGGAAGAGCTATTGTGCTCTTCAAAAGACGAGGCGCCTCAAGCTACTGCATAAACAGGGTCTACTGTGGAAAATATTAAATGTGCTTAAGTGGATGTGCTTTCAATACTTGCCTAAATTTTATGTGTTTAACAATTACACTTGATCAAGTTGAATGGTGTAATAATTACGCAATGGACATCATTTTACCACTTTCTTTTTTTTTTTTTGCTTTTTTGGTGGTTGTAAGGTTTATGAATTATGGAACCTAATGGTTTTGACATTTTTTACATCAACTTGTGGAAGAGCTATTCTGCTATTATATATATATATATATATATATATATATATATATATATATAGACAAATATTCCTGTCCGGACGTCCGAACAGGAACCGCCGTCCGGACCGCGGCGTTTGGCCGCTTTCCCGGTGGAATTTTTTGATGAAATTTTTATGGCATGTTCTCCATCAAGTCTAGTTTATCCACAAAAAAATTCAGCCAAAAACTCAATCGGGAAGGTCGTCAAATGATTTTTGCAAGTTAACTGGTCCGGAATATGTATTTTCCGGACCAGTTAACTTGCAAAAATCATTTGACGACCTTCCCGATTGAGTTTTTGGCTGAATTTTTTTGTGGATAAACTACACTTGATGGAGAACATGCCATAAAAATTTCATCCAAAAAAGCCACCGGGAAGGCAGCCAAACGCCTTGGTCCGGACGGCGGTTCCGGTCAGGAGCTCCTGACCGGATCATTACTCTATATATATATATATATATATATATATATATATATATATATATTAATTAATCGACGAGTTCTTATTTTACCTTAATCATGCAAACTTTGTGGCTAGCATGTACAAAGTGAACGAGAGCTTAGAGCAGTTTGTAAATTGTTTGTTCCTACTTTCTGATTTCTTCCTAGAAGCTGCAGTTTATATTTTCCATCATTTCTATGAGATTTATACTCTTCTCTTGTTTCATGCTTTGTCTAAATGGTTTGATAAAACAGAGAAAGAATTTGGCAATGTTTCAAGCTGTCAACAGCTCTTTGCTCAACAAGTTTATTCACGAAAAGTATTTTCTATATGATGGCCATTCATATGCCACTACAGGTTGTTTTTGTTACATTCTAATGATGTTTAAAATGTCAACATTTTCTATCTATGAATCATTTATTGTTTTTTTTAATCTTACTTGTCAAATAGAGTTCAGCATTCCAAATGACGTGGATGCCTACACTCGTGAGTTAATCAACTTCATGAAACAAGGCATTTTTTTGTACTCTACAAAACTCTATTATGATTTTAGCCTCTCTGTTGTTTATTCATTAGTGTTTGTTTATGTTTATACTTCATAGGCGTGTATGGAGCCATAAAAAGAAAACACTTAAAAAGTGTTTCTTTTTATGTATACGGAGGGGCAGCACAGCCTGAAGAAGTTTGCAGTAAGTTTTTTGGGTTCCCTTTTCTTGCATTATAGAATGAGAATATTAAACAATATCTTAAATAGTTTGGTTAGTAACTTTAAAGCAGTTTAGGTAACACAGTAGAAATCTGGAACAAAATAAAAGAGAAATATAACTAAGAACTAGTTAGACAGTAAAAATAACTAAAAACTAGTAAATGGGCGAAATAACAAGAAGGGAAAAGGAAAAAGGAAAAAGATGAAACTGTTGCAGTATGTTCTTCGTAAGTTCGTATTATAATTTATTGTGTGCCTAATCACTTTTTATAATTGAGCCACCCATTTGAATCCTTCTCCACACCCCATCTTGAGGCACTGTGGAGAGTAGATATTATGGTAATAAACTAAATATGCATTACCATTACTATTGGTACGGTGACAGTAGGTCACAAAAAGAAAGTTTATTTATAAATGTTAACATAGTATTTTGTAGTCAAAACTAATCTTTCACTTGGCATATAGCATGATGGTTTTGACTGGACCTAACAGACCTGGTGTCTCTGCTTAATACTAGTGCAGAAGAATGTAACATCATAGTTCATGGCATCCCAAATTAATGTTTTGGAAGAACTGTACAGTGCCTAGTATAATAAGTAATTATTACAGAGAAATCATATGGTTATCAACCTCATGAATAAACTTATTATTCAATCCATTCTACTGGTGGTTAATCAGTCCCACATTTTCAGTGTCATGTTGCATTGTAAATTTTAGTATTTCGATGAGCAACAAGTTACAAAACAGCGACATTTAAGAAAATTCCCCAAAATTAGATCATTCCTAAAAACTATAGATACCAAAATGTTTACAAAAGAAGCACACGTCCCTGCCCTAGAGTAATGAAAAAGCCCAAGAACATAGCCAATAAACAGGGTGAGGAGTCTCAAAAGAGAATGGAACAAATTGGCAAATATAAGACAACCTGAGAATCACACCAATGACAATGTAATGATACTGTAGTCCCATCTTACTTTATAATTACATTTTATACCCAAAAACCGTGAAGTTCAATTGTATTTATTTATGTTTAAATCAAGGTAGCAATGTCGTGAGGCGCACTCAAGGCGACGGATTACTCCAATCGCCTGAGGCGCAAGGCGCGCAAAAGCGCTCACCTGACACATTACTTAGAAAATATCACATTTACTATTATGCAAGTATCAAACATGATGTATATAACATCATATTGAACCAACTACATTAAAAAGTCATTTTTCTAAAATATAAAGTCATGATTAACCAAAATAAAGTCATGCATTTGCATCATTTTTATGAGCCAAGTAATATTGTTTTCAAGCCGGTCTGTTTTTGCTGATTTGGCAGCTTCAGGACCACTGGCTGAAGTTTGACTTTTCATGCCCGGTAAATGTACAAGGCAGATATTAGAAAATGGAATAATGAAGAGAGTCACACGTGATAGACCACTATATTGGTAGTTTACAAATATATATATGTTTGACATGTATAGAGTTTATAAGAAGTAGATTCTGAAAAATGATAAAACAAAGAAATATGAACAGTGAAGGAGAAGAAAACTTACTGTGGTTAATAGTAAGTTTTAACCACAGTGCTGCCTGTTTCTGCACTTGATGAATGATGTGGGGATAGCGAAGACTGAGGTAATGTGAGTAGAGCAGAGCAGGAGAGTTGAGGACTTGAGTAGCGAACACTGTGACTTGTATCGGTTAACGCAAATTTACATCATTTTGACCTTTTATTTAGATATTTAGTTGGGCTTTATCATATTAAAGATATGGGTTTCTTATTTAAAATAGTCTGAAACTAAAACATTAGGCTTAAACGTTTGTTTCCACCTCAGGTGAGATTAGCGAGCGCTTTATAGCGCTTGAGCGCTTCTACGTCTAACTTGCGCCTTAGTGCTGATGTGCGCTGCGCTTAGTGCCCAAGAGCTCGCTTTTGACTACCTTGGTTTAAATATTGTTATAGAACTTCTTATCAAACATATAAACTGAAAACACAGACTTGGTAACGTCTTTAACCATCTAGGCATCAAACTCATTTAAAATTTTGGGTGCAGTTTCGTTCGAGGACACAAACCAGAGCACAAGTTCAAATCTGAACCGGTATTAAGATTTTTTATTTATAACTATAATAACTAGCAGTTTGTTTTGTTAATTGTGCCGAGATTGTGATAATTCATAGGGACCCGGCACTTCAGATAATGTCTACTATGTCCAGATTGTTACGTGGTTTCTTTGAATTAAAAAAAGAGGTAAAATCATTATTATTCCCAAAAGATAAATTAACTGAATTTATATTTGTGTTTAATTAGTATTTTCCCTTAACCCTAACAACAAGCAATACTAATTCATTTTATTTTAACTGCCAGCGAAGTATTGGAATGCGCGTTGAGTACAATGACAAGTCAACGGTATGTCAAGTTATATTTTAATTTTATAGGATTGAGGATCTAAACTATCACTGATGGTATCTAATAGAAACTGAACCGGTAATTTTGTTACACCATAAATAGGAACCAAACTGAACCAAGTTATATTGGTTTGGTCCCAGCCATTTTCTCAGTTCGCGGTTCTAAAATCTTGGGCCTAGTGTAGTGGAGCTTAAAGTAAACTTTTCATTTGTTCTTGCACGTGAACTAAGAGTGATATCGAACGGTTGTGACATATTGTAATGGAAGAAATATTTCATCCACACAATTATTTCCTTAAAAGTTGATAGATATTTCATTTTGGGACAACCCGAAATTGATAGGTGACCAAACATTTTAGGCAGAAGCGCAAATAAAGCATAATAAGTGCAGAAGCGCACACCTGTTTGGTAAAATAGTCATAGATTTAGAAGAAAATATAGAAATGGAAAATACAGACCTTCAAAAACTTAACTATTGGGCCTAGAACCCTCTTATTGTACAATATTAAATTACTTAATATTATTCTTATTATGGGGAGTGTCCGGGTCCGTATCATCGCTTCCCCTTTGACAACCACCTTGTCCTCAAGGTGGGTGGTAGGAAACAGCCCTGGTCATCAGCTTCATCATTGCGCCACTTCCTTACCATCTCTGATTGATGGCCTAGGAGCTTCAGAACTTGACCCTTCATTCTCACTCCCTCCACTGCAAGAAAGATTAGAGGCCGGAGATAGAAACTCCCTGGAAATAAGTTTTCAAAAATAACAATTCCACCGACACCAGTTACTGAAGTGTTCCTATAACCATCTTCCTTACTGAATGACAAGAGAACTGGTAGAACAGGCTCGATATCTTCCTTCGAATATTTGCGTACAATCTTTGACCAGAAAATGAATGAGGTCCTTCTCGCTTTACATGATAACCAGACTTTGAAGCCTCTATATTGGAATCAATACCATCATATAAAGGTTTGCAACATGGAATCTTTCTGCCCCTGTAGTAGCTTCAGCTGCTACATGCCTACATCACAATGCTTGAGAGGAGCATTGTGACTTTCACACGTGACAATTATTATGATGTTAATTTCAGAGAGGGGGGTTTAGACTGATCCTCCTATAGATAAACCTATAGGAGCAGCATAGAATGTGGGAATCACTGGAAGAAAATCATCTTGAAGTTGACCCTTTAGAAGATGTTTCTCTCCTTTCCAAGACATTGGCAATGGATCACATTTATCAGTGCTCCGAAGAAGATGTTTAGAAAATCATCTTGAAGTTGACCCTTTAGAAGATGTTTCTCTCCTTTCCAAGACATCTGCTGAAAGTTCAGTTCATGCACTCCAGGAGATTCCCCACATAGGTGCTGAGATTCCTTTGATTTAAAATTTCACAAGAGAACCTTCTTTTGCTGCACATACAACACCTACTTCATGACTTGAAACTTTGTTAACCCAGAACCCTTTCTGCACAAATGATAGTCCTCTAACATTGTGGGTCTCAACATTTGATATTGGTCAAACTTTCATCCCAGGCTCCCAGCATCATCTATCTTCCCCAGAAAGTGTTCCTGACCTCATATATTGAAATTGTTTGGCTATCAGTTTATAATTTGTAGTTTGAATTCTTTCAAATTACTTGGTATTACTTAAGGTCATTTTCTCTAATCTATCTATTATATATATAGACCTCCTTGATGTTTATAGTGAAGAGAAGTTGGTAGGAGATACAGAAAGTCAGGAACCCTTAAGAGAGGAGAAAATTTGAAATGCTATAGCTTTAAAAAGCGCCCAAGAGGAGTGACTAGTTGCAAGGCGCAGAGATGCACTGAGAATCTCTCAACGGGAAACCTAGTTACCTAGGTGTTATAGATTCCATAAGACCCACACTTTGATGCGCTTCAGCCTGCCTCTCAACCATGAGGAAGTGCTCACCTTTGACGTGTCATGATCTGAACAGGGTTTTCTTCGTTTAGCATTCTATTATTTAGAGTCCACTACTAGGTTTATAGGTTTATATATGTTATTTAAAACATATTTCAGACTTAACATGAAAATGTGGCTACTAAAATTATTAGATGTGCTTCTAAAATACTTTAATTTTAGGCTTTTCATGAAATAGAGGCCACTACTAGATACAATTTAATTTCAGGATTTTCGTGGAATTGTCTCGAATGAAGTCACTACATTGGAGAGGATTGGAGGAGAGACTAATATGGATCATTTTATGATGGATATACATGCCATTGACAGAAATGTAATGGTAACAACACTTAACTTATTCATATTTTTTAAGAATTGTCAATTTAATAATTGATCTTTAAATTTCTGTTTGATTTTTAGCACGAGGATGGCAATGAGATGCTGGCTTGAGGTACTCCTTGTTTCATGAGGGGGTTCACTTGTTGTAAGTTTGACATGAATTTTATTCCTCTGGCGTGTTCGCGTGACCACACTATTACATAGTATGATAACATATCATTTTAGGGCATCATTATTTTCTATAACTTCTGTAAGTTGATAGCTGAGTACAATTAACATATTAGCTGGGAATATGAGATTCAGTTATGAGAATGAGTGCAAAATTGAGGGATATTTTTTATATGAGGCATTGCTGTATGACATTTTTGATGATCCAAGTTTTGTATGAAATCATGAATTATACTACCTCCGTAACATTAATATCTTCTCACTTTCCTTTTTTGGACGTAACACTAATATCTTCCCATTTCTAAATATTCCCATCATACCCTCAATAATTTTAAAAATAATACACTATTACACCTACTTTTTTTGGATTTATCCTTCATTCCATCACATTATTTCAATATTTCACTATCTTCTTTCACTATTCTTAATCTACCTACTTTTCAAATGAGAACATCCCAATGTTACGGAGGTAGTAGATTCAAAGTATGGTTTATTGTTGGAATGGTCAACCAATGTTGAAATGTTATCCATCATAGAGACTTGAAAAATCAGACTGTCCAGCCAAACTTCTGAAACGGTTGAGCATGGCAATCCAAACTTCTGGAGCCAGTTTTACTATCAGTCCAATAGGTTGAAGGCCCTTTGCTAGGATTCAGTTATGAGAATGAGTGCAAAATTGAGGGATATTTTTTTATGAGGCATTGTTGTATTACAATAGTCATCATAGACAGATGCTTTTTGATGACACAAGTTTTGCATGAAATTCTGAATTATAGTCTGTCTCGAAGTATTGTTTATTGTTGTAATTGTCAATCAATGCTGAAATGTTATCCATCGTTGAGACTTGAAAATCAGACTGTCCAGCCAAACGGTTGAGCATGGCAGCCAAACGGTTGAGCATGGCAGCCAAACGGGTTGGGTAATTGTTTTTTTTGCTTTTCTAATTAATTCCACCCCCCACCCCTAAAACACCTAGCCCTACCCGTCTGTCACCAAAAAAATCTGAAAAAACAAAAAAAAAAAAATTTTTAGGCCCGAACCAGCCTCGACCCGGCTGGGTCGGTTCCAAAGGATGTGTAGCCCAGACCTGCCCTCATAAATCCCTCGGACCGGGCCTAGGCCCGGTATCGGTACCGGTTCACCGGTCCGGGCCGGTCTCGCATAGTGGTGGGCCGGTCCGGTTCCCGGGCCGATCGGACCGGACCCGGGCCAAGACTACTCTAAATCCACCCACAGGCGAAACGGGTAAAGTAACACCAAGGTTACAGAGACTTGCCGTTGACATCATACTAGAGGCGAGCTCTTTCTGAGGATAATGGTGATGTTGATGTTGCATTGTCAGGACTTCCTTCCAAGTTCCAATCCTTGAACAACATCTTTAATAGATGTGCTAATGGAAGTTCTCGTGAGGACACAGAGTCCTTGCACATTGGGTGAGGGTAAGGATGGCGTTGGTGAAGGAAATGTGAGAGGTTTGTAAACGGTTAAGGCTAGGGATTGGTATGGGGTTTCAGATGATGGAGGTTGGTTAGAAGATGATGGTTGTTCAAAGTTTGAAGAACTAGGATAAAGAACTATAGCTTGGGATGCTTGCTCACAAGTACGTGACCTTTTCTCCCCCTCATGATGATCCGAATCATCGGTGTCATCATGCTTACGCTTAGGTTGGCGTTCTTGATCACAGCAAGTGGTTTGGATATAAGGTGGGGCAAGGGCTAAAATGTCGCGAACTTGGACAACTTGAGGCAGTAGGTTGGGTTCTGTTAGGAGGCGATCTAAAAAGTATTCAGATAAATCAATGATATTCATACTAACAGGGTTGGCTTGGGAGGTTGAGAGTGTGGATTGGGTAAAACTAGGTTAGATGGTTATGGTTGTGGTACATGGTAGAGTGGATGGGATAATTCCTATGAAATGAGAGGGGTGTGATCTTTGTTCTGCTACACCGGTTGGGTCTACAGATCATAGTTCTTGAATGATAGAGTTTTTAAAGGCTAAGAGATCAGACCTTAGATCCTCCCTAGTAAAACTAAATGATGAAAATCATTAAAAATAGACTTTGTTCTCACAGCATCACTAAAAATAGTTGTGTCATGGCCTGCTAGGGAGCTCAGAGTGGCAGGACTTCCAACCATCATAGATTTACCTCTGGTTGTTGTGACTGGTAGTGTGCCAGTAGCAGTGTGTGAAGAAGTGTGTGAAGTAGGTAGTGTCCTAGAAAGTGAGAAAACATTTGAGATAGTGGACACTTGACCTATTGTGCATGGGTTTTCAGTGCAGGGGAGGTTCACTGATAAAAATGGGTTCCCTTTGTATGGTTGAAACAACCATCTGTTGGGGGATGATTGAGTGGTCTTGGATTGGTTGAAATTGCGCTATTGAACTCGATGTAGCGACTTCTACTCGGGAATCGACAAGGTCAGAACCTGTACCTAGGGGCTGAGTTCGGATTGTAGTAGTGACCGGGGATGATGAACATTAATATCACTAGAGGAGGAGACATCAACTCTCTTGGACTGAGTCTCACCCGTCATCGTCTTGGTTTTGGACTTTGTCTATGTCACTCTTTTACCCTTACTAGCACTCGGCTTAGAAGTTCCAGGGGTAGACACAGTGGGGTTTGACCGTGTCATAGAAACAGAAGAGATATGTACCGTATAATCAATGACATGAGGATCATTTTGATCAGCTAGATTAAGAAGAGCCTCAGGAATTGGCATTGGTTGCATGTCCTTTGTATTCTCTATCTTCTTTAAGTACATCAACTTTGGGATCTCTTGAAATTCAGAAGATGGTCTCGTAGGAATGTTGGAATCTTCTTTCACGAAGTGATCAACCAGCATGAAGAACCACATAAGATAAGGTACGTACTGGGTCTTCTTGTGAGACTTTCTGTTGTTGATTTGCTCTAGGATCTCAAACCATATCAGCTGTGCCCAGTCATAGTTCTTGGAAAACATCACACCATGGACCAACTTGAGAATGTGAGCGTTGCAACGATCATGGCCCAATTATTTAGAAGATAAGCACTTGTTGAGAATAGAAAACAGTGTTCTCCAGGGTCGGGGTAGACTTTTATCAACAAATTGGGAGAACTTAATGAGTGGGGGTAAGTTCTTATGCTAAGGTGGATAAAGAAATATTCCCTCTATCTCATAAAATCTTTTTGAGTTGAAAAAATTAATTAAGAGCTCGTTTGATAGCATGAAGATCGGATGATTTGGCTAATTCTGCTGAAATTTATGAAGTTCTAATTGAAATGACTGCATTAACTGATTCCGGTGATTAAGAAAAAAATATTTTTAAAATATATTTTATTAATAAAATAAAGAAAAAAATATATTGTTGGGTTAATGGCCCAAGTCAGGGTCCGGCCCATTCACCCTTTCTTTACCAGACGTACGTCCACTCAGGTCACTGAACTAGCCTAGCAAGCCCATGTCCTCCAGGAGGGACGAACGTCTGCAGTAGGGGGTTAGGCTCAGCGGCCCATCTCGACGAACGTCTATGCAGGGACAAGGAGCAGGCCCACGGGTCACCAGAATGACGACGAACGTCGTCAGAGGAAGCCCATAGCCATCGGAGACGGTCTAGCCCGCATGGCGAGAATCCACAAAGGCCAGAGGACGAACGGCCAGTACCCCTGGGGGCTACCTGGAGCAATCCAGCTCGTTCCCTGGGCGGACGAACGTCCCCCTAATTAGGCGGGAAACCTAGATTCTGGCGGGAAGCGCATTTAATGCTGAAGATTTGGTGGTTGAGGCACCAGCGGACCACAGGCTTCCACGTCAGTGTAGCCACCTGCCCATTGGTGGGTATAAATAGAAGCATTTATTTCATTGTAAAGGGTTGGCATCTATTCTTAGCACTTTAGCTATAGCATTCTTACTCGCAGCACTTCTACTGCCTTGTAAGACGAACGGCCGACGGAGCCTTAACGAAAAGTATTGTATTAGGGAGTTATTAAGAGATAATAATACCTAATCACTTACTTGCTACTTCTTGTTCCCTTTGATCCATATCATCTGCTTGTTGGGCTAGATATTCATACACACTCCACTCGAAATCCTTGGGCTTACGTGTTAGACCCGAGGGTTGAAGGAATAAATCTCAACATATATGTAAAAATAACTAAAATGATCATATACAGTAACTTCAACCAATATAGCCAGAAAAGTAAATTCAACCATACTTTTTCTGCTTATTACACAATTCAGCGCGCGAAAAAAAAAGTTACGTGTTTGGCGAAAAAGTTGGCTGATAAGCGTGATAAGCCGAAAAACGGTATTGCCAAATGGCCTCCAAACTATTCCAAACTTTGAAGCGGTGTGAGATGAACACCCCAAACTTGCATATGCATTTTAAATACTCCAAACTTTGTATAAAAAATTATTTTGGCACCACAGTCAAATATCATTTCTTTCAAAAATGTAAATTTATGGTGTTAATTGCATACATTAAAATATGTTAGACCTCATGAAGACACAATTAAGTGATTAACATTATAAACTTCCATTGCAAAATAAATAATGTTACCCTCAATCTATATAATTGCAACACTTTTAATTTGCTATTTTAAATTATGCAATTAACCTCATAAATTTATATTTTTGAAAGAAATAATACATGACAATGGTACGAAAATTACTTTTTATATATAGTTTGTGATATTTAAATTACATACGCAAGTTTAGGGTGTACTTCACACCTCATCAAAGTTTGGAGTATTTTTTATTTATTTATTATTTTTCCCTTTTTCAATTTGACTTAAATTGAAGTTTAAGAAAGTAAGAATAAAGTGAAAATGTATATTGTTGTGGTTAAGTAAGAAAATGTAAATGAATTTTACCACACAAAACTTTCCAAAATGTGAAATGTGAATATTTTTTATGTATATTTGAATATATTAAGTAAGAAGAATTTTATGGAAATGTGAGTGTACATAAATAAGGTAAATAATGAAGTGTCTATCTAGCCTTATGCTTTAAGGCATTGATCATAAAATATTTTTTTGGTTAGCCATAAGTTTTAAGTAGGGATACATACTCCTAAGTCCTAAATAGTAAATACCACAGAGTAGCATTGAAGGTAAATAAATAAGTTGGAAGCGCAATTGAGGGGCTTATTTCCCATCCCAATATTTCTTTACCTAAATGTTAC